TGATGGGCCATAAATGCGGACTTAACCTTACCGAGTGGTCCGGGTTCAAGGCAGGGGACATTATTGTATTATGTTCTTGAGCGGACACTTCACTCACAGTACCTCTATCCACTAGGGTGTGTAAATGGGTACCAGAGAATTTAATGCTGGTGGGGTACCCTGCGATGGACTAGCATTCCTTCTAGGAGGGAGTAGAAATACTCCATGTCTCTACATACCTTTTTACCTTTTTTATTACTCCAGCAGCACCTAGTTTCCAACTTCTGGTTGGTGATGAGAATGCAACCATATTTCCTACGCAGTGTGTTGCTTCAACAGTGCCTAGTTTCCAACTGACAGTTGGTGATGAGGATATAAAAAGATGTCCTACTGAGTGCGTTACTTCAGCAGTATGTAGTTTCCAACTTATTGCTGGTGATGAAAATGCAAACATATTTCCTACAGAGTGTGTTGCTACAACAGTACCCAGTTTGGAACCCCCTGTTGGTGATAAGAATATAAACAGATCTACAGGCTGTGTTATTTCAGAAACTTCTTGTTTCCAGCGTATTGCTGGTGATGAAAGTGCAGTCATATGTCCTACAGAGAGTGTTGCTTCGACGTTGCCTAGTTTGGAACCTCCTGTTGGTGATAAGAATATAAACAGATCTCCAGGCTGTGTTACTTCAGAAGCTTCTAGTTTCCAACTTAGTGCTGGAGATGAAAATGCAGACATATTTTCTGCTTCGACAGTGCCTAGTTTCGATCGTCCTGTTGGTGATGAGAATATAAACAGATCTCCTGCCGAGTGTNTTTGTTAGAAATGAGATAAAAAGTGTCCGAAAATTAAACGCCCCAAAGGAAACGTCCGAAATATTTTGCAAGTAATGTATCTTTAAATTTGCCACGATGTGTCTCTTCCCGAACGTATGTCATTTTTGTATGTTCAGGTTCAAGCCCAGGCCGTGTTCGTTGTGGTCAGTGTGGAGATGAACTCGATTCATTACGAGGCTATCTGGAGCACAGGGTGTACAATCATATGGTCAAACAATGCTGGATTTGCCAAAAGACATTTAGCAACAGGAAAATCCTGAAAAGGCACATGAAAACCCACACCGGTGAAAAAACATTTCCTTGCGACCACTGTGACAAGCTTTTCGTAACGCAATCAGAACGAAAGTCCCACATACGCCTCTTGACTATGGAAAAATCATTCACGTGCAACTTGTGTGGGAAAGGTTTTAAAAAGCAGGTCTCACTTGACTATCACATGGCCACCCACAACAGTGAGAAACCTCACCAATGCACGTATTGCTTAAAATACTTCAAAAGAAAATGGTCTTACGATATTCACGTACGCGCGCACACGGGGGAAAGTCCGTATCAGTGTAAACATTGTGACGAGGTCTTCACGAGCAGTCGATGCCGCCATCGGCATACGATCAAAGAGCATCCTGACTCTGTTACCAAGAAGGAGTACAACTGCAACTACTGCTCCAGATCGTTTAAAACCTCGACTTCACTGTCCACTCATATTCGAAGACACACTGGTCAAGTTTTACGATGCGAAGTTTGTTCTTTTGTAACTGTGTCGAAAATGAACTTAGAAGTGCATATGAACAAGCACACAGGTGCACGGCCTTACAAATGCAAACACTGTCTCAAGGCATTTTCTCAACCATCTCGTCTGAAAATCCATGAACGTTCTCACACTGGTGAGAAGCCATATGCTTGTGATCAGTGCGAGAAAGCGTTCATTGATAAATACAGCCTTGTAAGGCATGTCCGCACTCACACGGGAGAGAAGCCTTATAAATGCAGCTACTGCAGTAAGGCCTTTGCCCAGGGATGCCAGCTGCAGTTCCACGAGAGGACACACACTGGAGAAAAACCCTACGAGTGTTCACAGTGTGAAAAGAAATTCGCTCGTCGACAGGAGCTTAACAAACACTTGGCAACTCACGAACAAAGGGAACAGCAGACTGGGACAAAGAGGAAAAACAGTAGAAGTGATTCTAACTCAGATTACAATTCAGATAAAACAAAAGGTGCCAGGGAACAGGAGAAATGTGCCAAAAGACCTGCAAGTTTAAGAAGTGCAAAGCGAAGTAGCAACAAATACTGATGTGTTAGCGAACTTAAGCAAAGGGAACAGCAGACTGGAACAAAGAGGATAAAGAACGTAAGTGATTCTAAATCAGATTGCTATTCAGATAAAACGAGAAGTGCCTCTGGACAGGAGAAATGTGAAAGACTGGCAAGTTTAAGAAGTGCAAAGCAGAAGTAGCAAGAAACAATGATAAGATGACAGTTATGCAGAAGTGTGTCAAGAATAAACAGAAAGAGCATATTCGTTGCAGAATCTATGTGCATGTTCCCAAAATGTTTCAATTTGAGAATTGGAACCTAATTGAAAACCGTTTGACTAGAAATACTATTAATGCTACAAAGTAGAAATTACTATGAGGTACCAGTCCAGAGAATGTTCCTTTATTTCTGCCATAATATTCTCAACCGTTCTCATTTTTTTTTTTATGTTTTGCTTCTCCAAAAGAGGGGTGGCTAGCCACCCAATCCACCTCCCCCCCGCTAAATCCGCCCCTTCTAAAGCCGTTCTGTGTAACAACTTTAAGACGAAATCCGATAGGAAATCGCGCAATTTCAGTTTTAAGTGGACAAAACCTTGTACCAGAATAATTTTAAGTATGTAACTGTCCTTTTTGCACTTTATAAAAGCTAAAGATATAAATAGTTGCCTGAAATAACACCTAAAACAATTTCCCATGGGAACTCGAGAAAATAATTTCAGAGTTCAGAGAAATTGTGCTAACCCAGGTAAAATTTCATCATCAGTTTCATTTCACCAGCACTTTTAAATGTTTTATATGAATTTCAAAATTTGTTTTCCACGTTTGGTGTTGACAGAAATGTTTTTTTTTTGAGAATATATTTAAAACAGTCGCACTGAAGTTTGTAATATAGTGCAAATAACTTGATTCGGTTCAAAGTTTTTGCCCACTTGTTACTCCAACTTCTGGTGGGTTCTTTCTTAATAATATACTGAGATGTGATCTCTTGCAGAGGGTATTTCAGTTCAGTCTAAACCAAAAACTTCCATTTCACTGACAGTAAAGTTTAGATCTGTTAAAAATGTGGTTGCTTCCTTGCCGCTTGGGCACTGGTACGAGTTGGTCAGTATTGTGGAGCCTTCGTTGACATTTGGTTCATCAGGAATATAGAAATCATTGCCACTTCCAAATAATGGCCCATAGTCAAAGTTACAATTGATAGCATATTCTTCCTGGCCAGTAATCAAAGGCATCTTTCTTGGTGGCAGACCGCTTGGATTGTCAAGGCTGAACTAGAACGACTCTGGTGCGTTTTTGTAACCTGTGGAACCTAATGAAAGCAATGAAATATCTCCGTGATTGCAACGTCCACGAGGAATGTATCGATTGCAAAACTATACCCTCGATATCTCGAGGGGTATAAAACCCCGTCCACATTACGCCGGAGAAATTTGAAAACGGAGCAATCACCGGTCATTTTGGATTTGTGTTTGAGGAAAACTCGGTCAGGGCAATCCCGTGAGTATCGTGATGTCATCTTTTTGGAAAAAGCTCCGTTTTGAAAACTTTTTCCGTCCGCACTAAAACGCAAAGCCGGCGTTGTCAAATTCTTCCGGTTTGAAAGGCGTTTTCGAAAAGCTCCGTTTTCGTGTCGGATTAGTGTGGACGGTAGGCCTAACCGTAGAAATAAAGCTGCGTTATCAAATTTCTCCGGCGTAGTGTGGACGAGGTAGTGAGTAACCTTGCAGTGTAAGGTTGTCAACAAAATAGCAGCTGCTTCTTTGC